AAAAGGAGAGAAATAAAAAAAAATCTGAGAAATCTTTCAACAAAGGCACATTTGAAGAAGGAAATGAAAAGTCTTAAAAATGTATGGGGGAAATAATGTACTAAATTTACATATTTAAATTAATTGAAATTTGTGTCAATTATCAAAATATAATGAAGACAAAAGCAAATGAAGACAAAGTATCTCCAAGAGAAACTCAACTCTGTTATGGATGTATGCAATTGAAAACTTGCTGTGTCAATTTTCCTAAATTTCAGATCATTTGAAGGAGATCTTTCAAAATAATTTCCCAATATTTTTGACAGATATTGAAATATCTATAAAATGTTTCTATATTCTTAAAAATACATTCAAGAGTCATGACCACATAAAGAGTAAATTGACCTATTCTTAACCCATTCTTTTACCTTATTCCTAGAGCTGGCACTGCCCTCGGGTTGGGTGCCACAGTCAAATGTCACAGGAGGGCTCCAGAGGAAAGATGATCCATCCTTAAAAGCAGAAAGGAAGGGTGACTGTGTCACAGCAGTGGCGGCCTGCCAGGAATCCCGGCACTGCTCTCTGCTCCATGAGAGCTTTAAGAAAGCCTGTGGCAAAGGAATAGCACAATGCCACACCCTTAGTGGCCGACTGTTGTGTGTGGCCCTAAGACAGAGCCTGAGAGAGACAGTTTTGTGGGGCTGTCAGTGCGCATCCCCTTTCGAAGGAGACTGCATTCAGATTTGGAAAAGTTTATTTGAAGACATTTGCATACAGGATACTCAAATCGACCAAAATCCCACCTTCAGTCAAGACAATGAAGATGGACTCAAGGAGGACTTTGCTTCAGGTTGGTCTTCAGGAATAATTTAGGGACATTGAACTAAATCACAAAAAAAGAGCTAACTAAAGAATAATTAATTCCTGGTTCTATCTGTCATTTCCACCTTGAAAGTTTATCAAATTTCTCTTGGAAATTAAATATTTGTAAATCTCCATACCATGATGATAGGCAAAGGGTATCAGAAAGAATGAAGCAATGTGATTTAATTTGCTGGCATGTTGTTGTAGTGATGAGGCGAGCAGGCCTGCTTTTTGTCCTGCCCAGCTCCCGCACGGCTAGCTTAGCCCTGGAAATAATAACATGGAAACTGTATTCATTTAAACACTGCCATTATTTCTAGCCTCTTATTGGCTAACTCTCACATCTTGGTTAACCCAGTTCTAATAATCTGTGTAGCACCATGAAGTGGTGGCTTATGGAGAAGATTCTAACCTGCATCCATCTCGAGCCAGAGCTTCATGCCATCTGCCTGACTCTGCTTCTTTCTCCCAGCATTCTGTTCTGTCTACTCTGCCTATCTAAGCTGCTGTCCTATCAAAAGCAAAGGCAGTCTCTTTATTTGACCAATGAAAGTAGCACATAGACAGAAGACCCACCTACATCAGGTTGTCAATGTTATTTATTCATTTATTCACTAACCAAATGCTTAGGAAACATTTGCAATGTGTTAGGTCTATGTAGTGAAAGAAGGAAATCTGTCTCTCATTGAAGAAAATCACTATATTTTAAAATTAAAGAAGGAGGCAGGTGCAGTGGCACGCGCCTTTAATTCCAGAACCCAGAAGGCAGAGGTAGGTGAATCTCTATGAGTTTGAGGATATTCTGATCGACAGAGTGGGTTCCAGAAGAGCCAGAGTCACACAGTGAGATGCTTTCAGAGAGAGAGAGAGAGAGAGAGAGAGAGAGAGAGAGAAATAGATAAAACATAGCAAGAAATAGTCCTTAGTGTTTCTACCTCCCCATGGTAAGTTCTAAACCCCTGAGACAAAAAAGCAAATAAACAAAACCACTGCTCTCTAGAAAGGAGTTTTCATGACACTTTCCTGAGAGACAGGCTGTGAAACCCATTTCCATGAATAGGACTGAGATGAATACTTAGCCAAAAAGAAAAAAAAACATGAAAAGAACATACAGGAAATGATAGGGAAGCCGAAATACAATGTGGTTGCTACAAGAACTTAGTTGCTTGCACACAATACTGGACTTGCAGAATTTTATCCTGTTAAGGTAAGGGACTGATCCTTTGTCCTCCTCTTGTGGATCTCTAATGGATATGACTGATGTCCCAGGTAAGTCAGTAACCTGTCGGGTAAACACAATACCTGGAAAAGCACCAGTTAAAAATGAGCTCTCACTCAACTACACTCACATCTGTTATGAGACTTTAATGTTTGTGCAACGAAGGCATGTTGGATGATGGACCAAAATAAAAAATGTTAGATTCTGGATAGCTGCTTATATTTGTGAATCACATGAGATGCATGAACAGTAGTTGGAGTTGGTCCTAAAGTTTTTTGTTCATTTGGTTACCTGATTTTTTTGAGTAAGTAACTCAAAGATACCACTGTCAATCCTTTCATTAATATGGAAAGTTCCTGGAAGAAAAGGCTTTAGTGGGGGACAGAGGAAATATCCAGATCCAGATGTGTGCATTTTTGAGTTGCAATGTTTTCTAGATATCCAAATGATGGCCTCAAGTTCTAAGTATGAAATTTATGTTTGATTCCACATATGGCATAGGGATATGAAATTTGCACAGAGGGTGAAAACTGAGAGGAAGGGATCATTCGTTTATAAATGAAGAGCCTATTGGACTAGTCAAGATTAATACAAAAAGTTTATGGTGTCTTAGACCAGAATGATAGCATGGTGAGATGATGCCAAATTGTCAAGCTGTTAGTACTAATGGGTCAATGAGAGAAGAATACAGAAGTTGATATAATCAACAAAAATACTCTACCTGATTCCACACAGAAAGCAAAGAGTCATCCATAGCAAAACAGGGAAGCAGGCTGGAGAAGAGCCAGGCTTCAGTACACCAAAATCCTCTGTTCCTTGGCTGATTCTTGCAACTGCCTTTGAGGACTTTGTTTACATTAAGTATTAGGAGAGATGCAGTCTTCTGTTTTACTTAATTTGATTTATCATCCATCATAGAGAAATACATCTATTAGTTTATTATAAGCATATTATATGAGATTATAATATTTAAATCAAATATTTGAAAGTAGTTAGCTCTAGACACTGTCATGTTAAGGAAGAGAAGAAAAATGGGAGCCATTCTGACACTAATTTAAGAAATTCTTCGTAGTTTTTGATGTATTTGTATATGAATGTATAACTCAAGTGAGGTCTGATTGGTGCATAATTGTTTAGCCCCAGGACATACTGACTTTTAGCTGCTATTCAATAATGAACCTATTGCTTAAAATATGCCCACATAGATACATATACAAACATAACATACACACTTCTGAAATGACATAAGGTTGGCAGTTAATATACAGGCATTTTATTGTACTGCTTATGGAAATAGCATACTATCAGAAATGAAGTCCACTTGTTTTATACTAAATGTAAATGTTTTGCTGTTTGGTTGTTCTATGCAAGTTGGTAACAAAGCCCCATAGACTAAATGATCTTGAGGAAAGAAGCTTTATTCATCACAGATTGGAAGCAGAAAGCCCAGATAGCCAAGGGTCTTCTCTTGATGAAGTCTCTGTTTTTCCTTGGCCTCTTGCTATGCCTTTAAGTGACCCTTTCTTGATGTGTGCTAAAGAATGGGTATGGGAAGGGATGGAAGAAGCGCACGGTGCATCTTCTTTTAAGAACAGTAGCCTACCCAATCAGCCCTGTTTCCCATTAGTATGACCTTATTTGTCCCTCACTGATTCCTTAAAAACACACACACACACACACACACACACACACACACACACACACTTGGTGTTAGAGCATTAATATTCGTTTTTGAAAGCAGAGCATAAGCATTCAGTCAATAACAAGAAAGTGGTTATAAATTGATGGGTAAAAGGTAGTTTCCTGAAAACGTTTTAGTCTATATCATAGACTTGCCAGTTTGTCCAAGTAGTGGTGCTTACTGTATTAATATGTCCATGTTTTAGAAAATCTGTATGACTCAACAAAATCTGGTCTTTGTTCATTTGTTCACTCTTTGAAGTTTTATTTAAAATGGGTTTGTCCCACAGAAATAGAAGTCAGCTCTTCCTCAGAAGGGCAGGAGGTTGGATTTTAAAAGAAATGATGATTCCTTGACCTAATCAATAGAAAAATAAAATTATACAGTTCAGTTAGGGCAGTACAGAGTCTATGGAGGTTAGAGCTCCCAGCACTAAGAATTTGCCTATAGTTGTACAATAGTATTCTTGCAGTAGGCTCACATGCAAGGGGCACAAACAGTTCAACAAGGACAAGTTCAGTCTTGCAAGAATGCTTGTACCAGAAAAAGTTGATGTCTTAGTAACAGTTGTAAAATAAGTATTAAATGTTTTTAAATGAAATTCTGATCACATTGCTTTCCTTAACACTCTTTCCACAGGCTTGTTGTTGCTTCTTGTGTTTTATGTTGACTTTAGCTGTCTTTATTTTTCAGGAAGCCTTGAGGTATCAGTCACAAGGACTGCATGTTGCTATTCTCAATATGCCACCTGGTACCCAGTCAAAACCCAGCTAATGCTTGTAGAATAAACGATTCTGTCGATAAAATTTTCTAACTCCATCTGCATGAGTCCCAAGAATTCTTAGAGACAAAGATAATCAGAGGAGGAAATGATTGTAAAATTCCATTTCTACCTGATTTATGATACTGGTTTTATGGAAATTTCTTTTCCTTTACTTTCTTTTTCTTTCTCTCCATCTCTACTTTTTTTTAGAGAATACTCCTTCTGTTCTTTTGTTCTTCAGATCTTTTTTTTTTTGCTTCACTGTACATGGTCTAGTGATTAACGTTACTTTATATTTTCAAGTAACTGAATCCAAAATCAAGACATTTTCAATTTCCTGCATGATTTTTCTTTATCTATCTCTCATTAATTTTAAATATTAAAAGTTAAATAAGTGTCATACACATCTATACATATTTGGTTGACTATGCATGCATAGCTTATAGGAAATTTTGAAAAATATTCAATAGTAAATTGGTTTATTTCATTTCCAGATAACACGAAAAAGGATAATATATACAAATGGGATCTAACTACTCCTTTGTACCATGGTAATGTGTATAAACTATCTTTTTATCTGCATTATAAACCAGATGATGTGGTTTAAATGTTATTATCAGAATTTTTAATGATATACAGATATAAAATAATTTATATAGTTTAAAGGTTGTATAAAACATGCTGCAAAATCATGATATTCTTTCCAGTGAGTATTATGAAAACAATGGCTTTGCCCTTCTGTCCTCTATTTATGGATGTTTTGAGAAATATTTTTCTATTAAAAGAAAAGTTTGGGTCAATTTTATGTATATTTTGATCATACAAGCCAACTAACTGTTTTGTGTATGTCTGTAGTGATGGCAGAGGCAGCAGTTTTATACATAAATAAAATATAATATAATACATATATATACACTAGAATGTGAGCATCTTCATAGGCAGAACTATGTAGAACCTTTGTTTAGAATTTCCTACGCATCCCCAATAAACTGTGACCAATCAATGACTCTGACTCCTGACTGTGAGCATACAATAAGTTACACAGTTCAAAATCTGTTTCTGAAGACTTATTACTTGATTTTGAGAAACTTAGAGATTTTTTTTTTCCATTAAAGCTCCACTTTGGCCGGGCGGTGGTGGCGCACGCCTTTAATCCCAGCACTCGGCAGGCAGAGGCAGGCGGATCTCTGAGTTCGAGACCAGCCTGGTCAACAAGAGCTAGTTCCAGGACAGGCTCCAAAACCACAGAGAAACCCTGTCTCGAAAAACCAAAAAAAAAAAAAAAAAAAAAAAAAAACTCCACTTTGGTCCTATCCATTCCCAATCTGGGCCACAATAAGCATATAGTATTTACGAAAGAAGATTGAAACAGTGCACCCTCAAGCCTCAGTAAATTTATACTTTTAAAGAACTCATAGCACCCTGATACACCTTTGTCTTCAGCTTCTAGAATTCTTATAGTTTTGTTTACAGGTTCTAAATGTACAACCTTCTGCTTATTTTTCTATGACCTAGGCATTTTATTGCTTTCAGGATTCAAAGAGATGCAGTCTTGTTTGGAAGTGACAGAGGCATGCGTAGGGGACGTGGTTTGCAATGCACAATTGGCCCTTTACCTTAAAGCATGCTCAGCGACTGGAAATCTGTGTGATGTGAAACACTGCCAAGCAGCCATACGGTTCTTCTATCAAAATATGCCTTTTAACACTGCCCAGATGTTGGCTTTCTGTGACTGTGCTCAATCTGATATACCCTGTCAGCAGTCCAAAGAAACCCTTCACAGCAAGCCATGTGCTCTGAACATCGTCCCACCCCCCACTTGCCTCAGTGTAATTCACACTTGCCGAAATGATGAATTATGCAGGTGAGTAAAAACACACATACCTTGCTTTCTTATTTCGGCACCTTATTTATTATAGTCCAGTCCTAACATTTGATCTCCTTCCATTGCTGGAGTTCCCACCATTGTCCAAAATGGTGTAAATAAAGCCAGACAATTCTCATTGTGAATCTGTGGTACATGTGTGGTATCCTGTTTGAAATCCAAATGTAAAATGCAGAGTAGGATTTTACAATAAAGAAACCCACTGTGTTGAATTGTGATGGCCTGTATCTTTTTAAAGGTCATTGTGTATGTGTGTGTGTGTGTGTGTGTACATGCACACAACAATTTTCGTGAGTTGGTTATCTTCTTCCACCAAGTGGGTTCTACAATTTTAGCTCCATTTATCAAGCTTTTTGAAATTGTCTTCCATCCCTCCTCTATCTCACTCGTCCAGTCAGCTTTTAATTAGTCTTTTTTTCTTAATGATTTGATTACAGAATCTCTGTTGTTGTTTGGTTTTTTATCTGTTTTAGATAAGGTCTTCCTATGTATACAAGATCAGCCTTTAGTTGACAAGTTTTCTGCCCTCAAACCCCTGGATACTGGGTTACCAGGCTACCAACACACATGGCCTGTTGTGTTGGAAAAGGCTGTTAATTTTGACAAGATGACTCTCCAAAATTCAGAATAAATGCTTTTTTTCTCAGCCTGTGGATTGAGAAGAACAAGGTACTTCTGACTATGGCATGGGCATTCCCAGCAACCCTGTGTACTCAATGTCAGAAATGTATTCCTTCCCTGCTTCCTCAAGCTCATGCGGTCTGTTATGAAGGAAAGTAAAGCTAGTTGTTTGTTTGTTCATTCAAAACACTCATGAATTGGGCATCTCTCTAGGCATCAGTTAGAAGTGTCTGTCCAGGTGCTTGCTATAGTCAAAGAAGACAGTTAATTAGAAAACAGGTAACATATAGAGTTATGAGTGATTTCAGATTAAAAGGGTTCTGAGAGAGAAATGTGATACAGTTTAGTGATTTCAATTGAGTTCGTTTTCTCTGCCAGATCAAGAATTAAAAGATAGGGAAAAATAACAGGTAGCAGCAGAGAAATCGCAAGCACTGTAGACAGAATCTGCATTAGGGAAAATGTTTACTGGGGGTAAAGGAGCACACACATGCAGCAGACACATAGAAAAGACCCTCCACTTAAGCAAATGAGAAGCTCGGGAAACCAAAAAACTGGGAGGAGGTGGAAACTTGTTTTTTGTTTATGTTTTTTTTTCTTCTTTTCGCAATAAAAAAAAAAATTAAAAAAAAAAACTTCCAATCTCCTCTCGGGGGCTTTTATTTTAAATCTCTGAAGAGTTTTCCTTTTTTTAATGTTTTTCTCTTTTTTTCTTATTTATTTATTTATTTATTAAAGATTTCTGTCTCTTCCCCGCCACCGGCTCCCATTTCCCTCCCCCTCCCCCAATCAAGTCCCCCTCCCTTGTCAACCCAAAAAGCAATCAGGGTTCCCTGCCCTGTGGGAAGTCCAAGGACCACCCACCTCCAACTATCCTGAGTGAGGTAAGCCAGATCCAAAAAGAGGAACATGGGATGTACTCACTCATATTTGGTTTCTAGCCATAAATAAAGAACATTGAGCCTATAATTAGTGATCCTAGAGAAGCTAAATAAGGAGAACCCAAAGAAAAACATATAGGCATCCTCCTGAATATTAACCTTCATCAGGCGATAAAGGAGACAGAGACCCACATTGGAGCATCGGACAGAAATCTCAAGGTCCAAATCAGTTTTCCTTTCTTAACTTAGGGGCTGATCAGTTTGAAGAAGCCAGTCATCTTGGAAATTTACTATGGCACCCTCTGCCTATCTGCCTGCCTACCAAGGAGTCTAATTCCTTGTCTCTCAAAATGAAAGGAGGAAACTGTTGTAAAAATAGGGTCATCTGCATCATGAATGATAACAGAAATGTGGTAATTAAGTTGTAACCTCAAAAACAAACAAACAAAAGAGTCCAAGAAAGAGAGTCAAAAAGTTGCAACTTAAAGAATGTGCAGGTACTCATGCTTAGGAACCATGAATGAATTCAATATGTCTGACTCTTGTCTTCTCATTGAGGTTCTCATTAGCACATGTGATTTTATGTCCAAGGTGAATTTATCTTTCCAATGATTAGAAACACATGGTTATGTAGACAGTTTGGAATATGAGTAAGAAATGCAGGGGGAAAAATGAGAATAGAAATAAACAGCGAGGGTGTTTTAACAGGTAGTCCCCAGTGGTCTCACACTAGCCTAGGTCTTTCTGCTCCAGCTTCCTAAATCATGGGATTACAAGTTTGTCATGTGTACGCTATGTCTAATTTTTTGTAATCAAACTTGGTGGTGGTGGTGGGGGGGGGGGGGGTTGGTCACGGTCTATGGCCAAGACAGGTTCAACCACTTGACCATAATAAGTCAATTAAAGGAGTCAAATTATTACTGGAAAGCAAACAAAAAGGAGACTCAGTCAATGTTTCTTCACTGGGAAAAGGAAATAATAGATTAAGTGAACTCCCCACCTCCAAGTCCATCTTGAGGGAGGCTGAAGCAGTGTTAACATTTAAATAGAAAACCAAGGTTTTTCATTTATAAGCAGCTCTAATGAAGCTGTTGTCCTGCCCATCATTGTCTGGGCTCCATTCTCATCTGGTAGGGTGACTGGACAGGTCATTCGAATTTGTGAAATCTCTTTTGGGGAGACATGTTCCCCAGCCTTAGTTAAACGTCGCAAAATAATTTTGTAAATTCTATTTGGTATAATTAGAAACATGGAAAAAGAATAAAGTACGGTTGAAAGGGAGGAAAGAGGGAGGGAGGGGAGCAGAGAAAAATGTACAGCTCAATAAAAATCAATCGAATAAAGAATAATGTCTATCCCATTGTGTAGGAAAACTGGAGTAGAAGTGTCTTCTTTGAATTTTCCTGGTGGGGGATGGTGTCTAAATGTTAGCTCTAATATCATACAACGTTTAAAGCTTTTTAATAAATCTCTCAGGTAGTTGGCACTGCAAATCATCACCCATTGTGATAAATGTATAGTGGTAAAGGACCTCTGCATGAAAGGACAGTAATTTGCAGAGTTTTGCTGCTTTTTTTTTTCTCCACATTCTGTATAGCGACATTTGAAAGCACAAAGTTAGCTTTGGACCGGAACCTAGACCTCATTTTGCCCCATGTGAGTGTTTCACTAGGTGAGAGAGCATCACATACTAAGGGGAAATCTCCCTATTCATAGGCTAATTCCAGTTCTTCACTCTTTCCCTAGGACACACTATCGAACATTCCAGTCAGAATGCTGGCCCCGTGTGATAGGGAAGTGTCATGAAGATGAGACCTGCATGAGCACATTAGGCAAGCAAGATCTTACTTGTTCTGGGAGTGACAGCTGCAAGGCCGCCTACCTGGGAACCTTTGGGACAATCCTTCAAGTTCCCTGTGCTTGCAGGAGCATTACCCAGAATGAAGAACCTTTATGCATGACTTTCCAGCACATGCTTCATAGCAGATCATGCTTCAGTAAGTTATCCATTCAATTGAAAGATTGTTGGGGGAGGCTGCTCATTTGTTCCCGGCTGCTCAGTCCTGAAATAATCATACACAAACCATATTATTTGCAATACTGTTCGGCCAAACAGCATAAGCATATGTCTAGCTAGCTCTTATACCCTAAACTAACCCATCTCCATTAATCTGCGCATCACCATGAGATCGTAGCCTACTGTCAAAGTTTCGGACCCACAGAAGCATCTGTCTCTGACGGTGGCTACATGGCTTCTCCCTGACTCCTCCTACTCTCTCTATAAATCTCTTTCAGCCTGGCTTTGCTCTGTTAAGCCATTGACCAAAAGCAGCTTCTTTATTAACCAATGATAATAAAACATATTCACAGTATTCATCACTTCCCACATCTAAAGATTGTCTGTTTAATCTACTTACCTACACACACATCTATCTTGTTTTCTACTATACCATAAAAATGGTAACAAGTCAACCCCCACCAAAAAATGTTCATGAAGACAATTGCATTTACTATTTTGGTTATGTGCTGGTTTTGCTTTCTTTCTCATTTATCAGAAAGTGATACCCCTTTTAAGTTGATAAGCTACTACTGATTATCATTTATTGATTTTTAATATGAAAAGCACATAAGGCTTCATTTACATGCTAAAAATATTCATTATTCATAGTTATTTAACCACAAGTCAGCTCCAAACATGGACCTAAAATCATTTACTATTTAGCTACTTAGCTGAACAGTTTTAATCACTGATTTGATCATGTACTGACACTCATACTCATGACTCTACCGAGGCTGGATTGACCAAGATGGAATTTAGCAAGCACAGCTCTCCTCTGGTGTATCCTTCAGCAGTATAACCCGTGACTGTTGGATGATGCAGCAGGATTCCTGGTGACTAAGACCAAATATACAGGCATTTATCAAGAATCTCTTCCTTTCATACTGTAAATATGCCAGTGAACAAAGCAAGATACATGCCAACCTCAGAATGACTGTGGGAACAGACTACAAAATGATGTGGGTTGTCAAGATGGGCTCAACAGGGTTTATTGATTTTATATAGGATTTAAGTTGTTCTGTGCCTGAAGTATATCTTTCCTTTGATGTATTTTTCTCTCCCCTTGGACTTAACAAATCTGCTGATTAACTTCTAATGATAAGATGAAATTTAAATTCTTTTAAAGTTAATCTTTAATGTAAGGAAAAGAAAACTGAAATTTAAGGCCTGGGCTTAGTTAGGGTTGGGTACTCTGACAACATTCTCTTAAGATGCTCGAACTGTTTTGTGAAAACAGCTCATAGGACATCCCAGAGGCACTTGAACTTCAGCTCATGTGTGTTCCATCTGCTGTCATTCCCGTCTCACCATTGACAGTCAGTTTCCAGAGAGTGAACTGTCTCTCCCTGGTGACCCAGCGTTGCACCAATCTAGTGCAAAGAGGTTGCCTGTGCTGTTTTCCTTTTTCTCTTGCACACTGATCAGTGCCCTAGATCTGATGAGGCTTTTGTAACTGGAAGGACTGTGGCACCGCTTTGTGTCTTCCCAGACTCCAGTAGACATTTCCCACCTACATGACTGCTACATATTCCTGCATAGTTGGTACTTATATTGTGGCAGTATCCCACTTCAATCTGCACATTCTTATGCAGGTGTCTATATGACTAGTTTCTTCGACTAATAACACCAAATATCAGTAGATTAACACTGACTTAATTACTCACCAACATAAAACAATTATGAAGAGAACAGATGGAATGAGAATTGAAGATTATCAAAATTCATATGTCACCAAGCTATTTAGTGTTCTCCTACTAGGTGACTGAATTCTCCTCTGAGTTCATAGAATCCATCCAATACATCCACCCCGCTAATGAAGAAAAATATAAAAACTGCTCTGGATACTTTGGTGAGTTAATCCTAAGTGCCTCGGACATCACTTTCACTTTGACAAATCTGCAATGGAAGCTGGGTAACACAGTTCACTTCTGTGCCTGGTTGGAAGGAAAATGAATTTGGTATATATTTAACCTATCTCTGTTACTGTAGCTCCAATAAAATATATAAAGCTATGACTCCCTAATACTGATCCAATTCATTTATCATTATCCTGGGAAGCACAAATTCATGTTTGAACATGTCTGTCACATATGCCAGAATACAAAGCATAAAGCAAAGGATTATGGGTACTAGTTTATTTGAAATCATTTTTGAAGAACAGGAAGAGTCAATATTTTGCACACACACACACACATATATATATATATATATATATATATATATATATATAGTATTCTTCTAATTCATTGAACTAAAGCTTGCTCCTTTTGGATCATTCTACAATGCTTTGTAAATATACGATGAGACTATGTCATCTTGTCCACTAGAGCAGAATATTTCATTGCATGGATATAGGGATGGTGAAAATTGACCCCGCAGACTTACATCGCCTACCCAATTAACTTTACCTTGTTATAGAGTGCCCACTTTCCATTACTAGTACTTATTCTTCCACACACCACTCCCCATCACTTCGATGTTTACCAATTTCCGTATTTGTACTTTCAAATCATTGACCCCTAGAAATGAACCTAGAAGTAAGACTTACTTCTAGACACTTTTTCCAGACAAAGCTAACTTGATTACCATGCATGTACTGCCTGCAGAAAGGGGTTTTCTTCCACATGGTTCTCTAGAGCCACCTCTATTTTTGCAATGTGTGGAAGATGTCCATGAACAGTAATCACTGGCATACTGCTACACTCAACTCTTCCTTGAGTCAGGTTTCTAGCTGATCTAATAGTATCCAATAGGAGATGTATTTCAAATGACAAGCAGGCCCTTTGTGTGCCATGACCTTGTTCCACAACACAAGAGATGTACCCTGTAGTTACCCTAGGGGAGCTTATCAGAGACTGTACACTGCACTGAGAAAGAGATTCAGTGTATCAAGTGACAAGTATTATTATCCTAAACACACTATTTTAAAACTATTGTTTGGGCTTTAAATTTAAAACCAGTCTAGCAATTGGGCTTCCAGGATTTGTTTCTGGATTTTTCTCATACTTTACAAAGACCATACACATCTTCAAGATTTTCTGTTCAGTGTCCACAGAAGTTCCCCCAATTTTATTTGGAATAATTATTCTGTTATAATGAAGACCCTGATAGCCACAAACACAGCTCCAAGCCGAAGGGAATTAATTGACATTGAATTTTTGGTTCTTCAACTTGAAACAGCCTCAGAAATATCAACAGAATTTCTTATATAAAACCAATCTCACCCAGATAACTCTTATTGTTGCCAAGTTTAGGAGCCACTGCTCTTACCCTCATGTGGAAAAATTCAGTCTGCACTGTTCAGTCTGAGAACCTCTTTCATACTCACTTACAACTCTGAGAATAAGACAGGTCTGTGTGGGTAAAGACAAGGCTGCTAAGAACAAACCCATCAGTTCCTCAGGAGGCAGATTTTGCCCAATCCTCCCAGACAGCTGTGGATACACAATAGCCCCTCTAAACAAACCAGGAAAGGGTGAATCACTACACCCATAGAAGAGGGAGCAAAGCAATATATACTGTTCCTAGGCAGCAGCCCTGTCCTTGAAGGCAATCAGTGTTCTTTCCCTTGTTAGAATTCTTCTAATTATGTTTCCAATTAAAAGCTTCAATCTTTCTTTTTTTAGAAAGCTATGTTTTTATTAGTATTTTTTAGAAAGCAGATAATAGTAAAGAGAATTTTTTGTAGATTCAGCAAAGATGTAATTACGCATCTACAGAATTCAGATTATGAGCTACATACACGTTCATTTACATTTTGGGGAATTTCCAACATCACTACTTACCTCAATGACAGTTGAGGTAGTGGCATTTAATGAAGGACATGCCATACAGTACTTAACTCATGACATCTACCAGGTAAAAACACTTTATTAGCAAATCTTATCCTATGAATATAAATTGATTTTTCCTCATGGTTAAAAAAAAAATTGGCTCTTCGTCTGTACTTACAGATAGAGTTAACTGGGTCCTTCTAGCAAATGAGAGCAAGTTCCTTTGAATAAATGACAGCATAAATGGAAAAGGTTATGTAAGTATAGGGATCTCTGTCTCTGGGCATCATATTTATTGATTGCCCTACACTTAGGTCAGGAAGAAAGGTCTTACTTTACAGACTGTAGAGACTCTAGAGTTTACCTCAATCTTTTACATTTCATCTTAAGGCTGAGTTTTTCAGTTCAGATTTTAAGCAGAAGAACCAGGAGCTAACAAGCGCTGCTGCAGCCACTCACTGGAACACAAACATTGGCTGTCTTTGCTTCCTAACACTGCTCTTACATGCTGATCTACTTTTCTAAGTTCTAAGTAGTAGGTGTCTATTTCAAGTCAATACTTGAGATCATGTCAGTACTGAAAATAAGCCACTATGCCAAAGCAGTTATGTTTTTAAAAGTGTACATCACCTAAGCTGCCTATGTTTTGACTGTATCTACCTGAAAAGATAGAAAGGGAAGAAAATTGTTTTCAATATTTCTACAGCAAGCTTACTTTCATGAAATATTGGGTGCTTATGTGTTAAGTGGATACACAGTCTTAAGAAAAGACCATTCTGGCCATTCCATACTCTAGCACTTAGTTTCATTTTATAACCTCATTTCTTCATAGCCATAGACATCATAAACGTGATAAATAAATGGTTTTTATCTATCATGTTTGTCTGCATTCAAAAGACAGAAGATTTATTCTTGCCTGACAGTATTTGTCTGCCTCTTTCTCAGTGAAGGTCTGGCTCCAGAAAACCATTTCATCAGTCGCTGCATTCATAGTCAGTCTTTAAAACCCAGCCATGGATGTGGGATGGTGTGTAGAACATCATTGCACATTTGTCCATACTCATAAAAATTTGCTCTCTTTAAGAACAATAAAGTCTGTGAAGATGAATTAATACAGGGTCAAACTTATCTTTTAAAATATTTGTCTTAATTTTCAGTGTCATGA